GTTAGTTCTGTAGTGCCCATTTATTTTTAGCCCCTGGTAGTCCCATTATCTGGTCATACTAAACAATAGTAACCTTCTAATATAATGGAGTTGTAAGTTGCTTACGTGATCGTTGGGCACCTGAGAACAAGAAGGGTCGCATTAATGCATTACGAGTATGAATGATGTTTATTCAATTAATAATTATATAATTATTTAAAAATTCATTGATTCATTTGTGACGTACTATAAAGGAAGCAACACGGTCGTGTTGTGGATGTATTTCTTGTGTAAGTGGTCATCTGTAACTTCGATAACCGTTCATGGCTTTGCATCGTTTAGATATACTGATGGAACTGAGAAGAATGCAGTCTTAAATTGCAGTTTTTTCGATTTATTTTGATTTTGCCAAGTGGACGGCTCGAGTCTACGGTGATTCTTTGAATACCCGTGAAAAAATTGACTGACGAGAAGTTCATCCGCAGACATCTGTGACACGAATATACAAAGCGACGGTTTATTAATCGAAAGCTATCATAGAACATCATTCCGGCTGTCCCAATTGTCATAGAAAATTTGCAAAGAAAGTAGCGATTAAAATCAGAATCCAGAAACAATGCAATGCCTGCCTTTGCGGAACAACAGTGGGAAATATTAGCCTTTAAAAACGCTTTCGTCTAAAAACAGTACTTTTTCAAAGAACGTTTTCTGTACGAAGATTCGTTTAGGAGTAATGATGTGCATCGGCTGCGTGCTGTTTCCATTAGGCTGGGCTAATCGCGAAATAAAGGAAGCGTGCGGATGGAAAACAGGACCGTTTATTATCGGTAAGAATTGCATTGGTATTTTGGGCACGAACTGTAGCGCAATGTATTCAGGTAGCTGCACGGTGGGTTGGGCATATTTGACGGTTATTACGAGCGCTGTCGGATTGTTTGCATGCACGGCGTTGTCGCTGAAGGCTGCCAAACCATTTCAATGGAGGCAAATACCAGTCAAATCCTCTCGTTCGTCAAACCTAGCCACCCAAGTCTAACAACCGAACCACCAACAAAGCAGCTTTGCGCACTGCTGACTGGCAGATGGTTTTGAATTTGAATCATGCAAGCGTCATCGACTTATGGACAAACTTCATTTCGTCCGCTGCGACGTATTTTTCGCGAACATTAACCGTCTGTTCTGAAACCCAGACGATGCTGGATGTGCCGGATTCCTGACAGACGAAAAACGGCATCCGATGTGTTTGTTCGATTGTATTGGATGTGAGTGAAAAACTTTACTTGTTCACCAAACCAAATTGGCTTCAGTTTTTGACAGTGTTGTGAAAGTTACGACGTCTTTATTCCAAAGATTGCCGGTGTAAATAATTTTGCTGCGATCGTTTTTCAAGTGAGTTCAAGCAAACAAGATTAAAACACGTTGATAAAAGTGCGTCCTCTTCAATTGTGATATTTTTCATCAGAGTAAGAATCAATTGTTCATATTTAGTCATGAATATAGTATTATTTGTAAGGGTATATTTTAATCAGTAACTAATTTATAAGCGACCATTAGACTTCAAAAACGATTGTGCACGATATCAGAGTCCCAATCGTTGCAACATCACAGCGATGACCGCATGATCAGAGGGTGGCTGTTATAGATCAAAAAAATTGCAAAGAAAGCTTTATCACGAAGCAGTCCAAATCAAAGAAAATGACCAATTGTACCTGAGCCATTTTTCAGGAAGTTTCAAAAAATAAGATGACGTTCAGTGATAATCTGAAAGCCGAATCTGAACAACAAACGGGTGAATGAATGTGACAAAAACGATAAGACCGCAACACATTTCTGCAACAAAGAAAGAGCTGCTTCGGAAGGAAAAAGCATGAAAAGAGCGTCTAAGATTCTGGTTGAGTACATCCCCATGTGTAAAACAACACGAATGATGTCAGTCAGTCAGATTCGATATCTACTCATCCTCTCAGATAGGCCGAAGCAGAAACATCAGACGATGCCTCCGAAGTTTACGATCCTCTGCCAGCGTTTCAGCTACAGCAAAAGACTGCTTGAGTCTTAAGCAAAGTCCGTCGAAGCACTCTGGTTGGCGGGGCCCGGCGTTTTCGGTCGGTTGCTTAGACAAGTGGTAGCTGTTTCGCTATTTCGCTGTAGAAACATTCGAAGTACCCGTCAACACCATCACAGTTGTAATTCTCAAACTGGAAAATGGGCAGCGATGCACCAAGATACTCTCGGATGTCTGTACTCTGGACCATGTCCAGACGTGCGTGCCCAACGGTTCGTCCCAGAAAGCCCATTTCAGCAGCATCTGCCCCAAGATCAAAGTTTTTCAGCCATAGTAAACGATTCATTTCCATAGGTGAGTATCTGGACGAATGCCGATTTAAACGCAGCTTAATCTT